CTGCTCGGATGCAGGAGAGCTTCATGGAGACAAACGGACCCGGAGAGGAGGCAGAAGTAATTCAGCTGAAGGCAAACTTGACTCGTCTGAAAGGAACCCAGTTTCTCTTCCTTCAACCAGAATGAACAGCATGATGGGAACGATGGTCATCAGCTGGGAATCTAACCGTCCTTGTCTCTGCTGTGAATCCAGCTCCTGTTAGGAAAACTCTGAGGAATGTTGCCTTTCTTCAGTTTCTTCTGCAGAAACTCATTATTTCTCATAATTGGCTCACAGAGAACTCATCTTCATTATTGATCTGAAGTTTTTGGGTCAATAAGGTTATTTTAGACCGTCCTGCTGCTGCTGCTATTGTCTAGACACTCAATGTGTTCTTGCATCCTCCCCAGTGTGTGTGTGTGTGTGTGTGTGTGTGTGTGCATGGTAATCTTTGGTGGGAACATCTGTCTCTCAGAGATAACATAACCAGGGAATTAGCCATAACATCTTACAGCGGAGCATCACACCTCACTGTTGCAGCCTCCTAAAGTCTACCTTATTACACGTCTGTGTTTGAGCAGACGAGCGTAAGCAATGTGCCGAGTGTCGTGTCCTTGGGGGGCGTCCATGCCAGGTTTAAGAACATCACCGAGCCTGCTACCTCTAATCCGTAAATCCATTGTGGGACACGGTTCACGCTGGTATTTCTATAAAATAGCAATGTCAGAGCAGAGCAAAGAGGAGGTGAAAGGAAAGGAATGAGGTGTTCTGCAGGGTGAAGCTGCTTTATGTGCCTCTGATTTACACGCAGCCACACAACTGTTAGAAGTAAAAGCTCTAAACAGGCAATTATCTCTCCAGGGTTTGCAGCGAGCAGCGGTTCCTGACAGATTAGGCTTTGAGCTGCACCTTCAGTAAGTTAACGAGGTGAGAGCAGAATGACACCTGAGCAGGTCGCCAGACTCTTCAGCTGATGGGACTGTGCTCCAGAGCAGCTCACGCCTTTTGAACTTCGTTGTTCTGGTGATGCTGGAGAAGCGCCATAAAGATCAAGATCACACCGGAGTCGAGCGGCGTGTCAGGAAAGACTCGGGGAAACTTTTAATGACTGTGGCTGTGAGAGGAAAAGGACTGTTTAGTCGTGTCATAATGAAAATAACACCGCAGAAGGGAGACCTTTGCAGCACGACGGGAATGAGGTGGCTCGGTTCTCCTCCTCCGCACAGCTCAGAACAGCTGGGAAGTTGACTTGAATCAAAGGAAAAGGTGGGAGTTCCATCATGAAAAGGAAGAAAGGAACAGTAAAAGATGGAGAAGTGTGGCGTTTATCCCTCGTAGCTCGGGGTCGATGGATTGCTTCAGTCGCCACAAGGGGCCCTTTTCCTGAAAAATGGCATTTATAGTGTCCCCCCCCCCCCCCCCCCCCTCCAGTCCAACAATCCAACGCAGTGCCAATAAAGAGATCCAGCCTGAGCAGTGAGCTCTTTATGACTGCTGATGTGTTTGACTGAGCACCAGCTCATTGATTGAGGAAACGACTTCCTCTACAACATAAATCAGCTCCGTCTCCAAGCAAGGAGGTAGAGGTGGTGGTGGGGTGCACGCAGCAGCAAACATGAGCACACCAGGGGGCAGATCTTGGAATTAGGTAATGGTTTAATCAGTCACCGACAGAAAGTAGAGATATCCTGATGACTAATTTCCTCGTGTCTGAGACCATGAGACGTTTTGTTGTAAAGAGAAGGTTGCAGGTCTTCCCTGATGTGGATTTATTAGCTTTTAATAAATTTATTTTATTTTTCAAAAGCTCCTTTAAGGCAAGCCTCAGATGTTTTGAAGCTCTTTGAACAACCTTAGAGCTTCATGTGCCGTGAGGATATCTGCTGCAGGTTTAACTCCTGATGGTTTGATCTTCTTCAGTGTTTCTGATCGTTTTAATGTGTTCGTCTGCAATCAGCTGTTCCGAGGTGCTGTGCAGGTATGCATGTGCACGCACCCCTACACAGGTAAGGACGTGTGCACACACCCCTACACAGGTATGCATGTGCACGCACCACTACACAGGTAAGGGCGTGTGCACGCACCCCTACACAGGTATGCATGTGCACGCACCACTACACAGGTAAGGGCGTGTGCACGCACCCCTACACAGGTAAGGACGTGTGCACGCACCCCTACACAGGTATGCATGTGCACGCACCACTACACAGGTAAGGACGTGTGCACGCACCCCTACACAGGTAAGGACGTGTGCACACACCCCTACACAGGTATGCATGTGCACGCACCACTACACAGGTAAGGGCGTGTGCACGCACCCCTACACAGGTATGCATGTGCACGCACCACTACACAGGTAAGGGCGTGTGCACGCACCCTTACACAGGTATGCATGTGCACGCACCACTACACAGGTAAGGGCATGTGCACGCACCACTACACAGGTAAGGACGTGTGCACGCACCCCTACACAGGTAAGGACGTGTGCACGCACCCCTACACAGGTATGCATGTGCACGCACCACTACACAGGTAAGGGCGTGTGCACGCACCCTTACACAGGTATGCATGTGCACGCACCACTACACAGGTAAGGGCATGTGCACGCACCCCTACACAGGTAAGGGCGTGTGCACGCACCCCTACGCCGGTAAGGACGTGTGCACGCACCCCTACACAGGTAAGGACGTGTGCGCGCACCCCTACACAGGTAAGGACGTGTGCACACCTCTTCCTGCTCGTTTATGGCAAATGTGTCTTTTTTCAGTATTTGATTAGTTCATATTTTAATTGTTTGAAATGAAATAAAGAAATAAGTAGAAAGAATTAGTGGAGTTGATGCTGGACCGTGATTCTTGTCGGTTGGACCAGGAAGTTCAGCATCATGGAGACAAACTCAGCAGGCAGGTGAAGATGGAGAGGCCTGATGCTGTAACAGCTGCTAATTACTGCTGCTCTATATTTCAAACAGTCCGTTTGATCTCCTGTCCTGTGGAGAGAGATAGTTATTCTCTGTTTCTCACACACACACACCGAAGGGTCCCCGGGAGAGGGTAGTTTTCTGCTCTAATTACTGAATCCAGCCAGCACCTCGGGATGGGGCGTTTACATTTGGTATCTTGTCTTTTTGTTTGTGCTAATGTCACCTCCTGCTGTAGCCCCCTGCATGTGCAGGGCCGCGTTCACCGCTATCGCTGAGGATGAATCAATTCAATTTCTAAAAGCACTCTGGGTAGTTTGAGTCCGAAGGCCATCTGGATGCCGTTCTGTTCTCGGCTGCGTTCAGATCCCCGAGCGCCGGCCGCTGCAGCTATCAGCTATTTGGCAGGAAGCTTTATTACCAGGCTTGAATGCATAGCAACACTCAGCATCATCCATAACCCTTGGCAAGAAATGTAAGAAAGAAAGTCATCTGTTTTATGAATGATGCAAAACGGTTCATTTCTTTTTTCAGCTGCATTTTCTGCTGCTGCAGCTTGAAATTAGGACGAAAGAGTGGCTTCGGACGAAATAACAAGAAACGCATAAAATTGGTGCTTTTTGAAGGCAAAATTGTACTTTGTTTATTTCAAAGATATTATTTTCATTCAAATTATTTTTAGAAGTTCAGAATGTTTACAAACGGCTGCAGTGGCTCCTGGTGGTCATCATCTTTGCTGATGACACATAACTTTACATTGCTTTGTCTCCTGATGGCTGAGTCAAATCATGACAAAACTAAAGCTTTAGTAATCACCCCTTATCCTAAAGACATGCTTAATCCAAAAGCTAACTCTTAAAGGAGACACATGCAAAGCTAACCTTTTTTATATTTTTGTGCTGCCACATGGGTCTCTACTGCCTCTAGAAACTCTCCAAACATGAAAACAATCATCCATCCATTTTCTGTCAGTGTTCGGTTTCAAGAGTTATTTACGTAAAACAGGCCATTTGAACATGTCCCAGTTTGTGATGTCACAACAGGGAAAAATAGAAACGAACCACCTCACGTGTAAAAGAGAGCTGCTGCTAGAGCGCTTGTGAAATTGTGGTATGTACAGAATGACAAGAAATCTAAACCAACTGTAGCAAACGGTCTAGCCACGCTCTGTTGGATGGACCTAGTGCCAGAGCTACAAAGATGGCGTCAGGAACGGTGTTCATTTGAAACTTTTGGAATTAACTTTGGACAATTTACACTTTTCTCTTGAGACATGTGCAGACAGAGGTACTTGAGTCCGTTATTTAGAAAAATGTTGGGTGTTTCTCAATCCCAAGGAACCTTGCCTTGATGTCTTGGCCCCGCCCTGGTTGCCTAGGAGATAAGTCATCAGGAGCCGCCAAGACGTGTTCCAATCGGTTCCAGTGTTCATGTTCTACCGAGGAGTGTGTTCTCCGTTTGTTAGCCGTTTAGCTAGCTGAGCGAGGTAGCCTAGCCTTGGTCAAAAATTACCCACAATACACCACGGTGTTGTCAAAAGGAGGGCGGCTCAGAAGCCGGCAGCTACTTCGGGGGCAAATTTCAAGTTTAAAAGTAAGTCAAACAAATTAAAATGTTTTTTTAGATCCAAAGAAGTTATCTATGGTTGGTTAGTAGCTTAGTAGCTGCAGCTTCGGTGGCTAGCGGGTAGAAACTCACTTATATTTTTAATTTAATAAACATATACACGATTTAAACAGTAACAGGCTCGTTATATATTCATATTGAAACTAATACGTATAAAATATGACGTTATCTCCCGTGTCACGTGACGTTACGTGACCGCCGCGGAAGCTGGATCAGTAAGCTGCTGAAACAAATGTTTTGATTCTGTTTCTGCTCTAAAGGAAAAAGACTGAAGATTATTTTCTCTTCCTCTTCATGAAAGTCTTAGTTCAACTTTTTTCATCTGATTGTTGCAACTTTGTTTTCCTGAATTTCCGTAAATCTGAGTTTTCCTCATTAATCATCAATTACCCGCCCTGTTTAAAACGGGGGATGTGCGTTTGCCCTAAAAGTGTCACACCAGCCTGGATGAAAACAAATGCATAAAGACGGAGAATGTGGTGAAAAAACATTTATTACCGAAGTTCGTTTAACGGGGAATAATAAATGTACAAATCATCCCACAGCTGAATACTTGAAACCATGTACTCCATGTTAGGCACACACAAAACCACGCTTCAAAGGAAAACTTTGTTTTATACGTGTCAAATTAAGAAAATGGTAGAAAATAGTTCGTGAAGCTAATTGTTTCAGAAATACTGGAAACTACCACGACACAGAAGAATGAGATGGAGAGAAGGGAGGAGTATGGCCTTGTCCTGCCACTCTGTCCCCGGCTCCGAGGCAGCGACACCGGTCCCGGCTGGTCTTTGGATAGCAGATGTACCTTTCCCTTTTTTTCTGTTCCTGAATGACAACAAAAGGATCAAAGTCTGCTTGTCACTGTCGGCTGCAGCGCTGCAGAAGCTAAACCAAGGAGCATTTTGAAAACAGTCGGCATCAACGTGTGGGAGCAACTGGGAAGGCATATGTGAACAGGAGTTGGAGCTGATCCCAGCAGGAACACCGACGCGGCCCCAATTTCACAAGAAGGAAATAAATGAGACTGTTTTCTGTCAGTGATGAGGACCTCTGGGCTGTGAGGATCATACGGCCTTCTGCTGGAACCTCACAGGCCACGGCCGCTCCATGAAAGGCTGGGAGGCCACAGGCTGCAGGGGGAGGAGGGACGGATGCAGGGACTGGGGGAGGAGAGGGATGGAGTGATGGGAGAGGAGGATGGAGGGGAAGAGTGAGGAGATGGAGAGTGGGGTGAGGTGAAGAGGATGAGGAAGGGAGGGAGGGTGGAGAGCAGGAGTGGGAGATGAGCTGGATGGAGGGGTGATGGAGAAAGCTGCTTGTTGTAAAATGATGGGGTGAAGATTTGACAGCGGGGGAGATGGAGGGAGAGGGGGGAGGCTGGGGACTCCCATGGGCACTGTGAAGCTGTCCTGGGGGGAGGCATGCTGCAGCGGGACGCTGACGTGGAACGTGTGCTGGACGTGCCTCTGCATCAGGTCAGGGTGCATTAGCGGAGTGTGAGGTGTGTACGGCTCCTCTGAAGGGTGTGTGTGTGGGCTGTGTGTGTAGCTCGTGTGTGTGTTTGCACTCTCCAGGACTTTCTGCATGTGCTCCCTCGCCTGCTCCTGCAGGACTCGGTATTTGTCCATTTCCTCAGCTGAAAAGCTGATGGGTGCAGCGGTCCCGCCACCTGCCCGTTTGTCATCAGTCCCAATCTGGGTCCGGCACAGATTCGGGGACCTGCTGGGATTTGACTCCGCAACGTTCCGGAGACATTTCTGACTGTCAGCGGTTGTGCCAGGATTGTCTCCAGGGCTCTTAGCTTCACCCCCTCTCTTCTCCTGCAGCCCCTGGTCTCTCCTGGCCTTCCTCTGGATGGCAGGACATTTTCCTATGAGAGGTAGCAGCAGCATCCTGGCTGGTTTCTGTGGTGGAGATGAGTCGGAGCGGTTTGTTGGGACACAAACAGAAGGTTCGTGGACGCGGTCCAGCTGTGAACTTGACTCCTTTAGCGGTGATGCGTTTCTGTCACAATGGCTAATGTTGAGCCTTGAGACTTTTAGTTGTGATCTTCGGGGAGAAGAGGGAGAGAGTACATGGTGGGAACGGGCGGAGGCTGTGGGCACGGCGCTGCCGGGCTTTCCTGTTTCTGCTGAGTCTTGGCTAGCTGTTGAGGGTGCTCTGCAGGAGCTGACGACCAGCCTGTCCACGGAGACTCCTGAGCTCCACTCACAGCTCAGCTCGGACATGCTGGTGCTGCAGGGGCTGCATGAGCGCGGGCTGAAGCATCCACTGTCATGTGCTCCCAGCATGCTCTGGCGCCGGCTCGTCCACCACTCAGGGCTCGAGACGTGTCTTGAACTTGAGCATCTGGAGCTGGCACATCTCCACGCGCTGCCTGGGCTGTCTCTGATGTCAGCACCTGACCTGTGTGTTCCCCGATCCTCCCAGCTGTCACTGCTGCCCCACGTCCATCTGTCCACGCTGCTCCTGTCCCAGTCCACCTCGTCCACGCTCAGACGCCCAAGCCTCTTGCCCCAGCTGCCGGGACTGAGGCTAAACCTTCCCACATGATCCCACTCTGCTGCTCTGCTCCCCCGTCCTGCTCTTGACCTGCTCTCCTCATCATCTCCCTCTCTCAGCCACTCCCACTGTGCTGGGTCTAAAGCCAGGCTTCTGTCTCTGCCGCGTCCAGCCCTTCTCCTCCCACTCCTCTCCCAGACTTCCCCGTTCTCCTCACCATGAATGAATTTCCTGTCCCCGTGGAGGAATTTTCTCTTTTTTGCTGGGCCGCTACCACAGCTGTTGTCAGGGTAACAGCAGTCAATGAAACTCCTGGGGTTGCTATGGTGACCCCTTTCCCACCACAGCTTTGAGTTGCATCCTGGTGAGAAGGAGCGAGCGGAGACGTGAGACCGCCAGGGAAACGTCTCTGCGTCTCCGTCTCGCTGCCTCCCCCCTCCCGTATCTCTGTCTGCCGTGTGTCTGCTGAGCCGGGAGTCGATGCCGGAGCGTTCCGGCTGTGACTGGAACTCAGTGGTGCGCCTCCTGTGAGGCCTCCTCCTCCTGACAGAGACAGACACCGGCTCCGCCTCACATCTCCCCGGGAGACAGTCTCTGCCTGCTCCAGGCACCCATGTTGCTCCTCTCCTCCTTTCCTCCCCCCATTTCCCTTTGGCGTCTCCTCTGCACACGGTTGAGACAACACTCCTTACTTTGCACTTTGCTGATTGGCGCTTGTTTGAGGCCCTTTCCTTCCTCGCCTTCTTCTTCTTCACCTGCTTCTTTGAGATGGTGCTCCTGTTTTTGCGTGCCACTTTTGGGACGCCCACATGTGGTGGCGCTCTGGCACACATCGCCTCACCCCCACATTCACACCTGGACGGGCTGATGCACGTCCCCTGCGTGCCAGGCTCTGATTCACAGCTCAGGGTTGTGATGGCTCTCTTCCCGATCCCTCCTGCACCCTCTAATCTACCTCCCAGAGGATTGTGGGAGTTTGTGTCAGAGCCGTCACTCGGAGCGGACTGGGGCGGATGGGGAGCTGCCCTCTCACCGTTGGCCTCTGTTAGTGTGCATCCTCCTTGTTGTGGTCTTGTTTCAGATGATGGAGGGCTTTTGTTCCTGAGGAGCAGATGTGCTTCTGTCTCCTTGCTGATGTGTTGCTCCCGCTTTAAAATCTCATCGTGTCTCCTCCGTCTGCGTGTTCTCAGCTCGCGTCTCGCTTGTCTTTGTGAGCAGGAACGAGCGTCTGGCGGAAGAACAGCTGGTGCACCCGAGAGTGAGCTCGGAGGATTTGGTCGTGAGTCCTGCAGATCCTCGGTGAGTCTTTCTGGCGACTGGATGTCCACACGCAGCGGGTTGCAGCTGAAGGAGATACGCGGCTCAGAGGTTGTGAACTTCAGCAGACTGACGGGCCAACTCAGTCGGGCCGAGCCGTCTCTCCCAAGCACAGGAAAACACTTCCTCTGTCCATCCGTCCCTCTGTCCTCTGGTGTGTTGTCCAGTGTCTCCTGCATCTGCGACGGCTGTAAGTTTTGACTCTGATGATCAGGGACTGATGTGGAAATAGGAACATCTTCAGGAATGATGTTTATTTTTCCCGTCGGCTCCTCTCCTCCTCCTGAGACAGGCAGCATGCCCTTCAGTAAAAGACAGTCAGAGCTGGACTTTTCCCCAATCTCCCCGTCAATGTCCCTCATCATTGTCCGTACCCGCTCTCTCATCCGTTCCCTCTTCTCCCTCTCCTCCTCCTCGAGGTCAGAGAAGACGGAGGCAGAAGGCTCCAGCCTGGGCCCTCTGCGTGAGAAGCAGAAGGACACTCCCAGCCGTCCTCCCGCTCTCCCCTGTGACAGGAGGGGCAGCTGGGGACACAAGCTGTGGCAGGACTGGGGACGGTCTGCAGCAGAGTCTGCGTGGGACGTCTCCGTGGTTAGTGGGGAGTCTTCTGGTGTGGTGGGTTGAGGTAAACGTGAAATGTCTGGCTCGTGGCTAAGAGTTCTGGGCTGGTGCTGAGAGCGGTTCCGGGTTTTAGGATTGTCCTCTGAGCAGCGGCGTCTTTGGTCCACGTCTTTGTCTTGTTGCTGGCTCATTCTCGGGAGTCTGCGACGAGATGGAAAGAGAAAAATAATCAGATTTAAGTTGGAGTCCCGTTTGTAATCAGAGTAATTCCTAGAGTAAAAGTAAAGCTACTGGTGAAAGTTTGGGTCGCTAACCCTAACCCAACAATCAGAGCCAAGTTTCCCTCCTGAGTTTGTAAACTTTTGAATTCGTTTGTGTTTGAAGTTTATTTGCATGAGTTTGGTGAAAACGACCATCATTCACACATTTGTGCGCTGCCAGGAAGCCCTACGCGGTCTGAAGTCCCGCTTTAGCCCGTCTGGTGTTTGCGTTGGGATTCGTTTGTAGAACTGACCGTCTGAAGCTAAAAGATGCAAAAGGCAAATAAAATGAAACACAAACAGGAGAATCTTAGGTGTGTTCTTGCTGTGTCTTGCTAAATCCATGCTTTCGTTCTTTTTTAAACACAGAAACAGTTTTGTTTACCTGTTTGTAGCTACAGTTTCGCCGACAGCTGCCGGCTTCTTCAGGCTGACGCTGATGGTGGCGCGTCACTTCCTTCTCCGTTTATCTGCGGGCAGCAGAGGACGTTGTCGCCCTCTACTGCCCGCTCTCCCCTCTCCGACGATGCAGTCCCATGCGTGGTCCAGCGTGTAAACTCCGTCGTCCCTGTTCATGGTCCCACATCCACGTCTCCTTATCTCTATTGCTTCCTTGATCCATCTTTTGTATTTTTGTTGTTCGGTGGTTATGATCCGTGTGTTGTCCCAGTCCATTATATGGTTTTCTCTTAAGCAATGATCTGTTACGGCTGACTTTTTTATTGTACTTTCTGCTTCTTCTTTTGCTGCTCTTGTGTGTTTACGACTTGCCTCTTTCTCGCACTCCTTTCTGTGTTCTATTGTCCGTGTATTGAGTTGGCGTCCGGTTTCTCCTATGTATGTTTTATTGCATATTTTGCATGGGATTTCGTGCAAAATATGCAATAAAACATACATAGGAGAAACCGGACGCCAACTCAATACACGGACAATAGAACACAGAAAGGAGTGCGAGAAAGAGGCAAGTCGTAAACACACAAGAGCAGCAAAAGAAGAAGCAGAAAGTACAATAAAAAAGTCAGCCGTAACAGATCATTGCTTAAGAGAAAACCATATAATGGACTGGGACAACACACGGATCATAACCACCGAACAACAAAAATACAAAAGATGGATCAAGGAAGCAATAGAGATAAGGAGACGTGGATGTGGGACCATGAACAGGGACGACGGAGTTTACACGCTGGACCACGCATGGGACTGCATCGTCGGAGAGGGGAGAGCGGGCAGTAGAGGGCGACAACGTCCTCTGCTGCCCGCAGATAAACGGAGAAGGAAGTGACGCGCCACCATCAGCGTCAGCCTGAAGAAGCCGGCTGCTGTCGGCGAAACTGTAGCTACAAACAGGTAAACAAAACTGTTTCTGTGTTTAAAAAAGAACGAAAGAATGGACAAACAGGAGAATGTTTATGTTTATGCACTCTGGTGATTCGTCTGCAGCGACGCAGTTACAGGAGTTAAATGCTCGCCCTGTAATCGGAAGGTTGCAGGTTCAGTCCTCTGCCGTTGTGTCCTTGGGCAAGACACTTAACCCCCTCGCCTGCTGGTGGTGGTCGGAGGGACCGGTGGTGTCTGTGTACGGCACACTAGCCTCCGTCAGTGCGCCCCAGAGCAGCTGTAGCTACAATGCAGCCCATCACCACCAGGGTGTGAATGGGTGAATGGCTGGTTGTGTTGTAAAGTGCCTTGGGGGGCTTCAGAAGGCGTAAAACTGAATTTGTTTTTTTGTTTTTGGTCTGTGAGAGGAAACCGGAGCGCCTGGAGAAAATACACCTGCCTGCGGGGAACACGCCAACTCCACACGGGATTCGAACCTGGCCCTCAGGGTCACCGACTGCACCACCGTGTGATCGCTCGTGTTGAAAACAACCTCAAAGTGAATCATTGTTAACGTGAGCTAGAGCTGAAGCCTGTATCCAACAAGGGTCGAAGCTGGAGCATTGGCAGTTCTAGGGGCGGGGTCACAGGGGCATTGCTGAAATCCGATTGGCCTCCTGAAGTGCCCTTCTCTGTCACTCATCTGTCTTTTGACAATCAGGTTATAGGTGGATGCAATTCCAGATCCAAACACTAGAGGAGCTAATGAGCCCAATGGGGATTTTCTGCTGGTGAAATCTTGTGTCAGGATGTTGGACCCGCACTCGGCCCGCTGCAGGCCCCGCACTCGGCCCGCTGCAGGCCCCGCACTCGGAAGAGTCCGCTGCACCACTGGGAAGGGATGTTTCCACCACTTTAAAGAAAGAAGAAACATCTTCGGTGCGATCGTACTGCGTCTAGTTTCTAATTCCATTTCTGGTTCTTTATAAAACACAGGAAAGGTTTCTCGTTACCTTGCTGACCGTCTCGTTTGCCGACTGCAAACATCCTCAGAGTGCTATTAACCCGGTTACTTTATAATGTTGATGTTTCTTTTTGAATGATTTCATCTGAATTTTGAATTATTCATTAATTTCCTGCATGCAGCACAACCATACACCTTAAATATCACATGTTAGGGAAAGTCCATGTGATGGAATATGTACATAAGCCTTATGGAGAGGAGCAGATTAACAAGTGTCCTCAAACCTCCACAGCGTTGCTCTTTTACAGCAACCAAAGACTAAACACTCACCATTTCCCTGTAAAAACCACAAGTCTGTTCAGTTTGTGTTTCAGCAAACGTGAATAAAACCGTGGAGACACGGAGGAATCAGGAGCTTTAGTGTGAAAAGACAAAAGGTTGAGATGTTGGGATGTGTGGAAGCCCTGAGCTCTCAGGCGACACTAGAACCTGATCGATGCAGGCGCACGGATCACCGAGCGCTTTACAAACCAACGCCACGTCACGCAGCACCTTCCCGCTCTGCCTCAAACGGAAACCTGACACTTCGTTACACAAGTAAGAAGCCACAAATGAACTCAGATCTGTGGACACGGGGTCGTCCCACAGGGAACGATAAAGACGCAGGCTGGGGCGATGCAGGAGCACTTCCATGTCTGCTGCAGGATGCATGTATGAACCAGTTAAAAACATCACGGCAGCATCTTTTCCCGGGAAGCCCGGGACAATGCTGCACTTCATCCGGCACAGCGTACAACAGTGTAGCTTCATCGACTCAGAGCGCAGGGGCGGATTTAGGACTGAAGAAATCCGGGGCTTAACACACGCGCGCACACACACTAGTCAACATCATATATATATATATATATATATATATATATATATATATATATATATATATATATATATCTTGTACCACATAATGTTTAATCTGAAGCTACATATTCAGCATATTCAGGGCAGAGTATTGTTCCTGTTAGTGTTTAGTGTGAGATGATAGTAAATATTCCCGCTCTTTCTCCAACAACTTAACCTGATAAGCTAACTTTAGGCAAACCAGCAGCACAACAAATATTTTCTAATAAGACTCACAAACCTGAGTCAGCACCAGTCTCATCAAAGCTGGGGTTCTGTCGCCGTACTTTTGGTCTAAAAAACGTCCTTATGTCCATCTTCACTCATGCGTTTCAGGCAGAGAGTGTAGAAGAAGCCGGCTGCTGAAGGGCTTCTTCTTCAGTGGTGGAGGCTCAGGCAGGCTGTATACAAACTACTGCCAGCTGCGCCCTCTCTGTTGGACTTTGGTACTGCATGTTACTTCCACGATTTAGATCCGGGGCTTTTCATAAAACATCCGGGGCTTCAGCCCAAGTAGCCGGGCCTAACGCCGCCCCTGTCGGAGCGTGTGGGCTTGATCGGCCTGACTGCAATCCAGATGCGTCGCCCACTGAATGTGCACGGAGAATCCAACAACGACTACAGATTGTTGAGCAGCGAGAATCAACGCAGATCCTCTGCTAAACCTCATGATGCACATTACACGCACGTGTTTAAACGTGTTTATGTCTTCTGACATGAGAGAAAATAAAGGAATCATTTCTGTTTTTGAGTTTTTGAGTTTAAACGAAGACTGAAGCAAACCACCGGATTAACGTTTACCCTATTAAGACATTAACAAGCAAATTGTAAGAATAAACAAACAAATAAACAAACAAACAAATAAATAAATAATCTTGTACTCAATTTAGAGGAAAACAACTTAAGAAATACAAATCTAGAAACTCTTGGACATTTTTAAAAGCACCAATGCAGTTTTTGTTCAAATATAGAAAATAATTGGCGTGGCCTGCCAGACTCATCGCGTTTCATCTACAGAGGACTTCCTATGGAAGCGTGGGGCCGGCCGGGCCAGAATAGAATAGAGTAGAATAGAGTAGAATAGAAAATGCCTTCATTGTTTCTCAGTGCAGACATTTTGGTCCCAGAGCAGCAAATTCATTAATTATAAGATCAAAACAGAAGAGTAAAAGAGTAAAAAACAAGAAAACTAAATGCAGAAATTATGGATTTGAGTCAAAGATAAAAAAAATCTGAATATTTGAATAATAAACATTTAATCATCAGATCATAGCCCTGCCCCCACAGGCGTGTGCAGTAGACGCTAGGCATGATGGGTGCATCACTTCATCTGCCTCTCTTCTTATCCTGACGCGCCATCACTCTGGACCAGGGTCCATCTGGACTCATCAGACCAGTTGGACAGTTCTGAACCCAGTTTTAGTCGTTTCTGCGTCTCCTTAGATGTTTTCTCCGCTTGACGCCGATGATCTGACCCTTCTCACACAGACTAACATCTTCTCTACCAGATGCGTCTTTCCACCTGGTTGTTTAAGAAATGAGAAGCAGCTCGTTGCACCAGTTGGGTTAAATAACTAGTTGCAGCTGAAAGATGATCGCCCATGCGGTCATTATCCAATAGGAGGCTCCTACCTGTCTGCTCAGGTAAATCCAGGTGGAGACTTGTTTTTGGGCCCGGCGCTTTATTTAGAAACCGTCTGATTGTTGATCATTCTGGAGAAAACTCTTTAAAAATTCCTGTAAAAATGAGCCGGAGGTCCATTTTCTACTGAACCAGGATTTGAGGAAGTAAAACGGGATTGTTCCCAGAAAGTTCTGGAAGCAGGTGATCAGAACATCTCTCACGTCAGTTACTTACATGCATGCAGATGAAATTAGATTTGTGCAAGGCTGGGTCACCGTGGAGAATAATGCTCACACCCAAGATGAGAATTCCTTAAGGAGGACCGAATGGAACAAAGAAATAAAACTAGCGTGCACTCAGTGCTGCTGTCCACGTAGCCTCGTCTGATGATAGGCAAACACATTTAATTGCAACGGAAAAAGGTGCAATCAAGATGATTATTGCATGATGCACACTTTTTATTAGTGGTTCTGATTGCTTAGGATGAGCAGACCCAAGGGCGAGTTTCATCTCTCAGCTTTGTTCTCCCCATCATTAACTGAAACGTTCTCCTCTCTCTCCTCTAAAACTTCATCTCCTTCACCTACACGTCATCCTCTCTCTCAGTGTCAGCAAGATCGCGTCTTTCTGTTATATTTACTTCACCTGTGGCCCATCTAGGCCAAGTGAGCGCTCTCATCTGTGCTTGCATCCATCAAATCTAAAATACGTGGACTAGATGTGACGCACTCTAACCCCTCTGGACCGCTGCCACCGGTCTCGTTACACACAGACGGGCACAGAAACACACACTCACTCACTCACTCACACACACTCACACACACACACACTCACCGCTGGCGTTCCTGTTGCAGCTGAGCGAGCTGGTGCAGACGTCTGAGAGCCCTCTCCTGCTTGCGCTGGTCCTTCCATGACTTTGAGGCCACGTTACGAACAAACTCTCGGTGTTGAAGTTCCTTCAGCCTCTGCAGGAGGTGGAGATAAAGAGTGGGATATTAGCATGAGCGTAGTTTTTAGGAAGCTCCCTGCATGTGTTTGCCTTTTAAACCATCAGTGTTTGCAGATGTTTGGCTCTAAAACTCGTGTGCAATTAGCTTCATTCAGGCTGAAATAATGGTTTCAACACCCAGCGGGGCTCCAAACACAAGCAAGCAGCTGTTATCGTCTGAGGAGCCGATGCTGATCCTGGTTCTGAACGGTTGGAGGGACTCTAACTAGTTCTCTCTGACCCGAGTGTGATGCTGATGCTGGTTCTGAACGGTTGGAGGGACTCTAACTAGTTCTCTCTGACCCGAGTGTGATGACGATCCTGGTTCTGAACGGTTGGAGGGACTCTAACTAGTTCTCTCTGACCCGAGTGTGATGCTGATCCTGGTTCTGAACGGTTGGAGGGACTCTAACTAGTTCTCTCTGGCCCGAGTGTGATGCTGATCCTGGTTCTGAACGGTTGGAGGGACTCTAACTAGTTCTCTGACCCGAGTGTGATGCTGATCCTGGTTCTGAACCGTTGGAGGGACTCTAACTAGTTCTCTCTGGCCCGAGTGTGATGATGATCCTGGTTCTGAACCGTTGGAGGGACTCTAACTAGTTCTCTCTGACCCGAGTGTGATGCTGATCCTGGTTCTGAACCGTTGGAGGGACTCTAACCAGTTCTCTCTGACCCGAGTGTGATGCTGATCCTGGTTCTGAACGGTTGGAGGGACTCTAACTAGTTCTGTCTGACCCGAGTGTGATGCTGATCCTGGTTCTGAACGGTTGGAGGGACTCTAACTAGTTCTGTCTGACCCGAGTGTGATGATGATCCTGGTTCTGAACCGTTGGAGGGACTCTAACTAGTTCTCTCTGGCCCGAGTGTGATGCTGATCCTGGTTCTGAACGGTTGGAGGGACTCTAACTAGTTCTCTCTGGCCCGAGTGTGATGCTGATCCTGGTTCTGAACCGTTGGAGGGACTCTAACTAGTTCTCTCTGACCCGAGTGTGATGACGATCCTGGTTCTGAACGGTTGGAGGGACTCTAACTAGTTCTCTCTGACCCGAGTGTGATGCTGATCCTGGTTCTGAACGGTTGGAGGGACTCTAACTAGTTCTCTCTGGCCCGAGTGTGATGCTGATCCTGGTTCTGAACGGTTGGAGGGACTCTAACTAGTTCTCTGACCCGAGTGTGATGCTGATCCTGGTTCTGAACCGTTGGAGGGACTCTAACTAGTTCTCTCTGGCCCGAGTGTGATGATGATCCTGGTTCTGAACCGTTGGAGGGACTCTAACTAGTTCTCTCTGACCCGAGTGTGATGCTGATCCTGGTTCTGAACCGTTGGAGGGACTCTAACCAGTTCTCTCTGACCCGAGTGTGATGCTGATCCTGGTTCTGAACGGTTGGAGGGACTCTAACTAGTTCTGTCTGACCCGAGTGTGATGCTGATCCTGGTTCTGAACGGTTGGAGGGACTCTAACTAGTTCTGTCTGACCCGAGTGTGATGATGATCCTGGTTCTGAACGGTTGGAGGGACTCTAACTAGTTCTCTCTGGCCCGAGTGTGATGCTGATCCTGGTTCTGAACGGTTGGAGGGACTCTAACTAGTTCTCTCTGACCCGAGTGTGATGCTGATGCTGGTTCTGAACGGTTGGAGGGACTCTAACTAGTTCTCTCTGACCCGAGTGTGATGCTGATCCTGGTTCTGAACGGTTGGAGGGACTCTAACTAGTTCTCTCTGACCCGAGTGTGATGCTGATCCTGGTTCTGAACGGTTGGAGGGACTCTTAACTAGTTCTCTCTGGCCCGAGTGTGATGCTGATCCTGGTTCTGAACGGTTGGAGGGACTCTAACTAGTTCTCTGACCCGAGTGTGATGCTGATCCTGGTTCTGAACGGTTGGAGGGACTCTAACTAGTTCTGTCTGACCCGAGTGTGATGCTGATCCTGGTTCTGAACGGTTGGAGGGACTCTAACTAGTTCTCTCTGGCCCGAGTGTGATGCTGATCCTGGTTCTGAACCGTTGGAGGGACTCTAACTAGTTCTCTCTGACCCGAGTGTGATGCTGATCCTGGTTCTGAACCATTGGAGGGACTCTAACCAGTTCTCTCTGGCCCGAGTGTGATGCTGATCCTGGTTCTGAACGGTTGGAGGGACTCTAACTAGTTCTCTCTGGCCCGAGTGTGATGCTGATCCTGGTTCTGAACCGTTGGAGGGACTCTAACCAGTTCTCTCTGGCCCGAGTGTGATGCTGATCCTGGTTCTGAACGGTTGGAGGGACTCTAACTAGTTCTCTCTGGCCCGAGTGTGATGCTGATCCTGGTTCTGAACCGTTGGAGGGACTCTAACTAGTTCTCTCTGGCCCGAGTGTGATGCTGATCCTGGTTCTGAACGGTTGGAGGGACTCTAACTAGTTCTCTCTGACCCGAGTGTGATGCTGATCCTGGTTCTGAACGGTTGGAGGGACTCTAACTAGTTCTCTCTGACCCGAGTGTGATGCTGATCCTGGTTCTGAACGGTTGGAGGGACTCTAACTAGTTCTCTCTGGCCCGAGTGTGATGCTGATCCTGGTTCTGAACGGTTGGAGGGACTCTAACTAGTTCTCTCTGACCCGAGTGTGATGCTGATCCTGGTTCTGAACGGTTGGAGGGACTCTAACTAGTTCTCTCTGACCCGAGTGTGATGCTGATCCTGGTTCTGAACGGTTGGAGGGACTCTAACTAGTTCTCTGACCCGAGTGTGATGCTGATCCTGGTTCTGAACGGTTGGAGGGACTCTAACTAGTTCTCTCTGGCCCGAGTGTGATGCTGATCCAGGTTCTGAACCGTTGGAGGGACTCTAACTAGTTCTCTCTGACCCGAGTGTGATGCTGATCCTGGTTCTGAACGGTTGGAGGGACTCTAACTAGTTCTCTCTGACCCGAGTGTGATGCTGATCCTGGTTCTGAACGGTTGGAGGGACTCTGTTCTCTGGCCCGAGTGTGATGATGATCCTGGTTCTGAACGGTTGGAGGGACTCTAACTAGTTCTGTCTGACCCGAGTGTGATGATGATCCTGGTTCTGAACGGTTGGAGGGACTCTAACTAGTTCTGTCTGACCCGAGTGTGATGATGATCCTGGTTCTGAACGGTTGGAGGGACTCTAACTAGTTCTCTCTGGCCCGAGTGTGATGATGATCCTGGTTCTGAACGGTTGGAGGGACTCTAACTAGTTCTCTCTGGCCCGAGTGTGATGATGATCCTGGTTCTGAACGGTTGGAGGGACTCTAACTAGTTCTCTCTGACCCGAGTGTGATGCTGATCCTGGTTCTGAACGGTTGGAGGGACTCTAACTAGTTCTCTCTGACCCGAGTGTGATGACGATCCTGGTTCTGAACGGTTGGAGGGACTCTAACTAGTTCTCTCTGACCCGAGTGTGATGACGATCCTGGTTCTGAACGGTTGGAGGGACTCTAACTAGTTCTCTCTGACCCGAGTGTGATGACGATCCTGGTTCTGAACGGTTGGAGGGACTCTAACTAGTTCTCTCTGACCCGAGTGTGATGACGATCCTGGTTCTGAACGGTTGGAGGGACTCTAACTAGTTCTCTCTGACCCGAGTGTGATGACGATCCTGGTTCTGAACGGTTGGAGGGACTCTAACTAGTTCTCTCTGACCCGAGTGTGATGACGATCCTGGTTCTGAACGGTTGGAGGGACTCTAACTAGTTCTCTCTGACCCGAGTGTGATGACGATCCTGGTTCTGAACGGTTGGAGGGACTCTAACTAGTTCTCTCTGACCCGAGTGTCATGCTGATCCTGGTTCTGAACGGTTGGAGGGACTCTAACTAGTTCTCTCTGGCCCGAGTGTCATGCTGATCCTGGTTCTGAACGGTTGGAGGGACTCTAACTAGTTCTCTCTGACCCGAGTGTGATGACGATCCTGGTTCTGAACGGTTGGAGGGACTCTAACTAGTTCTCTCTGACCCGAGTGTGATGACGATCCTGGTTCTGAACGGTTGGAGGGACTCTAACTAGTTCTCTCTGACCCGAGTGTGATGACGATCCTGGTTCTGAACGGTTGGAGGGACTCTAACTAGTTCTCTCTGACCCGAGTGTGATGACGATCCTGGTTCTGAACGGTTGGAGGGACTCTAACTAGTTCTCTCTGACCCGAGTGTGATGACGATCCTGGTTCTGAACGGTTGGAGGGACTCTAACTAGTTCTCTCTGACCCGAGTGTGATGACGATCCTGGTTCTGAACGGTTGGAGGGACTCTAACTAGTTCTCTCTGACCCGAGTGTGATGACGATCCTGGTTCTGAACGGTTGGAGGGACTCTAACTAGTTCTCTCTGACCCGAGTGTGATGACGATCCTGGTTCTGAACGGTTGGAGGGACTCTAACTAGTTCTCTCTGACCCGAGTGTGATGCTGATCCTGGTTCTGAACGGTTGGAGGGACTCTAACTAGTTCTCTCTGACCCGAGTGTGATGCCGATCCTGGTTCTGAACGGTTGGAGGGACTCTAACTAGTTCTCTCTGACCCGAGTGTGATGCCGATCCTGGTTCTGAACGGTTGGAGGGACTCTAACTAGTTCTCTCTGACCCGAGTGTGATGCCGATCCTGGTTCTGAACGGTTGGAGGGACTCTAACTAGTTCTCTCTGACCCGAGTGTGATGCCGATCCTGGTTCTGAACGGTTGGAGGGACTCTAACTAGTTCTCTCTGGCCCGAGTGTGATGCTGATCCTGGTTCTGAACGGTTGGAGGGACTCTAACTAGTTCTCTCTGGCCCGAGTGTGATGCTGATCCTGGTTCTGAACGGTTGGAGGGACTCTAACTAGTTCTCTCTGACCCGAGTGTGATGACGATCCTGGTTCTGAACGGTTGGAGGGACTCTAACTAGTTCTGTCTGACCCGAGTGTGATGCTGATCCTGGTTCTGAACGGTTGGAGGGACTCTAACTAGTTCTCTCTGGCCCGAGTGTGATGCTGATCCAGGTTCTGAACCGTTGGAG